ACTTACCTGGATCTTCACTTAGTAGCACAATGTCGTCTGCATACTCTAGATCAGATAGCCCGCCGCCTGGGAGTAAATCGATGCCAGTAACCTCACATGAGGATAGGGCTGTTTCCATAATCAAATCTATAACAAAGTTAAATAGAAACGGAGAGGGCAACGCTGTCGAACACCACTTTCCGTGGTGAACTCGGGCGAAAACATACCGTAAGCTCGGACCCAGCTTAGGCTAAACTAACGAGCAGACGCCGTAATGCTGGAAAGGTTAGTAAAGAATGGAGACTGTGCGATCATGAATGGCTCCCGGTCACGTTCTCGCAAGGGTAGAAATTGATGGATACTCAGTTTTTACTTTTGATCGACTAACTTCTGTGGAAGGATAAGTCGGCTTCTTGGATATCTCTATCCATCGAGACCCGTGAGTAACGAACTGCGGCAAGGTTAGAGCAGTGTGAGACCCAGTTCTGGCTTCAGTTAAGAATTCCATATAAGCATTAGAGGCCCAGTAATTGAAGGTCCGTGCCGTTCCGGCTACCAGTCTCTGCGCCGCGATAGAAACGGCAGACTTCCACTGTAAATGCACAGTGAGCACGTGCCAACATCTAATCAACCTGATGTGCTGTTTGACCGTCATTCAAGTACCACGTATGTAGGTGTTATCGGGGGTGCCGGAAACAGATGTTGGCTATGACCAGCCGGTTGAGGTGAGTAAATGTGACTAGGCCGAACTTTCGCAGAAAATGCCGAGTAGGCTCGTCCGATGGACCAGTGTGTGGAATCGCCTCCTGCGATAAGGAGAATATGGTGTCCTGGATTGCGGTTGACTGAGTTTTGAACTTGATTACAGAAGTCATCTTTGATGGACGCTTCGGCATGTAACGTTGGAACGTAGATAATGATGACAATCTGGTTAAATGGCTTAACTCTGTAGCGCGCTATGACAATCCTGGGAGAGATTGGTTCCCGGGAGATCATGGCATTGTTGACCCGGCCGCTCACGGCGACTACCACCCGGTGCAAATCGGAGTTTTCAGTTGTACCACCGTGATGTGACCGGTAGGTTGCGTCGCTATGCGGTAGGTTCAATAGTTTTGTGCCACAGTTAGGTGGACTTCGGGCAGGCAACAGATGTCTACCTTGCAGTAGTGCAGTGATCGTATTGTGATACACTGGTTTCCTATGTCTAGCAATGTCCTGACATTCCAGCAGGCTACATGTATGCTAGATCTGGTGTACAGATGGTTTAGGTTCCCAGCTTGCTCGTTTGTCATCCCAGCCACTGTGAGAGCGCAGGGCGCGTCGCTTCACAGGAACGCCGTAGAACGAAAGCGACTTACCATTGTAAGACGATTCACGAAGAATACGGATGCTAGATAGTGGAGTATGTGGTAGGAAGTAGGCTAATCAATGTAGCAGCACAATATTAATTTTGTCATCACTATTGTCTCGGAACTAAAGTGAACGATTACTGTTGATGGATCGCTCATTATTCAGGTATTAGAAGTAAGTAAGGGGAAATTGGACAGTCAGTTCTAAACGACCACCAATGCTTTATGAACTCGAAGGTTCAAATGGTTGATTGAAAGCCGGGAGTGAAGTTCTTTAAGTTCCTACTCCAACCACCCCTGTAGACCTCTGTTGGTTTTATCGCACAACGTTCATCTCAGAGGGCATCCGCACACCAAAAGAGCCGTCTCGACTGCAGACGTCACTCGTTTGCAGTCAGAGTGTGCAGCACATGGAACTCTCTACCAGCTCACGTTGTCTGTGCCCCAACATTAGTATCATTCAAGCGTCAGCTTGATGATGCCCTGGCAAGCGTTACATTTCAACACCCAACTACATAACATATTCTCCTGTGCTCGTGAAAACATTAGTTTACTACTTTACTTTCATGGACTAACTGTGATATTGTGATTCTTCATCCGAACCAATGTGTAAAAACCCTATGGGATTTGTAAAAGCGAAGTCTTTGTAAGTTATATCCCATAATAAAAATTTGAATTTGAGCGACCGAGCAAACCGCTGAACTGTACGACTTCGGGGAGACAGTTTGCTGATACAATTCTTATTGGCTGACAATTCTTAAAACTTCATCTTCAAACACAATTATTGGTTCATCCAGTCAACAATAAACTACACATTTTTTAGTACACACTTTTTAGTGATGAAAAAAATAGAGTAAACCCAATAGTCACGAGAACCTGCTATTCATTGATAGAAGCCGGTAACTTAAGCCCGGGACTTGGAGTGGCGAACCACATAAGGCCCCGCTAGGTTAGGCGTGTTACTGAACAGGACGACAGCAAAGCTGCCTACCACCAAATACTTAATGAAATAAAGAACAATGATGATCATTCACATTCAATTATAGCACTACGGTTCGGGTCACAAGAGGCATGAAATACTAGAGAATTTGTATACTTACGGTCGACCGTTATCTTGGTTTCCTGGGAGAGTTTCAGTGTGTATATGAAATGGCATGGTTGTCTGTGGTCTACCCGAACGGTCAACCAATTTCAAACGACTATGCAACTCGCGTAGTACGTAGAACATTGTGCTGGTCTCCGGTAGAGATAGCCGCACTTCAACAGCGAACCCCTAGGAAGATAAAATACATCAGAGGGAAATTCAGGGAAAAATGATTAAGGGGTGGACCATTTGATTTAAAGCGAACCGTTGCATAACAAAAGGAGTACTGTACACTAGCTACTGTGCGATAAACAGTAAAAACGGTAAGCCCATAACCATGAGGATCCACTTTGCGGCCCCGCTGTCACACGGCGCAATACCACACCTTTCTCAAGGGGGCATAAAGTGGTTTGCCACTTCAGGGCCCAGGTTGTCGGTTGCTCAAATAACATTGATTGTTTTGGCAAACCACACAATGTGTCATTTTACACGTTCACAAGTGCACGCGCTTCAGGATTTCTGCTGTCAACATTCACGGTCGTGATGGCAAAATTGATTCGGTGGATAACTATCTTGAATTCAACTTAACCTTATTTTTTTCTTTCGTTCTTTCCTGAAATTCAATTATATTCTTCAAGAGATCTTACACATCGCCAGTTCCCTCACTGTACAATCTATTCAAAAGTGAGTGTTTGTTTATCATTCTGCACCAATCAACCCTCCAGTTAGCCTTGATGTTTTCAATCGTCAGTTTCAGTTCTTACGAATAAAGCTTTGTATCCCCGCTTTTAACCAGTAATATCTGATTAGTACTGCATTCGTCAGATAAATCCAAGCCACCGAACAGACCTGCCTGCTATTGCAGACAATGTGCTCATAACTTGCGTGAGAGCTTGACCCTATCCCTTATTTTCTTTTCTTTGAATCACTCGTAAACCGCGCGTTTCTCGGCTTTTGGCAAACCGTTCACGTATTTTACATTTCTAAGAGCAGGGCACCTATGATTCGCGTCTCATCTCTTTCTAATATCATGAAAAATAACTTCGCTGTCACTTGAAATGCCACAAACTGCCAATACGCCTTCCGCTTCCATAGATCCACTGGCGACCCGTCAGCATACTTGTCACGTATTACGTCTTCCGCCAGTGACCACTGTATCGTATCGCATTTGGTCTCCGTCGATATCGCCACGGTGTTCGACTGAAATCTCCCAATTTTGTACTTTCCTCATGTTTTATCTCGTGGACCGTGGGACCGTTCAATCTCGGTTCGTTTTGATGGAGTTAACCTCGGTGCTCCATAAATGGCTGCCACCCTCTTCCTTATATTCATCAGCGATCTTCTAACCCAACCTCCTAACCCTACCCATACCTTTGTCGATGATGTCCCCCTACCATGCGGTCTCTCACAACACTCCAAGCTTCCTTTATAATCATCGTTTGGGATCCGCTGTTTGATTGGGTTCGATCTAATTCAAACCTGAGTTTCAGCGCTACTCGTTGTTTTTATTGCTGCTAAAACTTCGTGTTAGTCCGCAGTCCGCAAACGAACTAGCTGTGTTCTCAACCTGCAATTCGACTTTTATTTACTCGGTTCCTTATCTTCAACAGCTCTACCTGGCATCCAATTTTTCTCTTCCATATTATGGTCCCCTCATTTTGATGAAATTGCAGTGTACACCCGGGAAGATTTCCCATCTATACCGCGAGAAACGATACCTTACTCTTTTGCCTCCAAAAGCCTCAGTATAGTCGTGGATGAGCGTCTAGGCTTGCGGTTGGTCACCCTCCCCGTACACCTAGCGAAATG